CTGAGCAACAGAGAACTTGAAATTATGAAATTGCACGAATCTATGAAATGGGAAGCCATTGTTTTTCTTTTCCTATCAGAATACTGTGAGAACACCGTGGGATCCTACAGATGTGTCTGTTCATCAGGACTGGTTTATAATCCTATCACTAACACCTGTGACGACATCAACGAGTGTCTGAATAACTCTCTCAATACCTGTCACCAGACATGTATTAACATCCTTGGCTCGTTTCACTGTGACTGCAGTACTGGTTACCTCTTGTCCAATGACAGAAAGAGTTGCTATGACGTAGACGAGTGCAACCAATCACGTGACGCCTGTCAAAACATTTGTGCATGAATACCCAGGGGTCTTACATGTGTGCTTGTAAACCAGGCTACCAGCTTGCAACTAACCGGGAACGGTGTGACACAATAAGCTGCGGGAATCCCGCGAGTCCTCAAGGGATCGTCGTAACGTGTGATGGAACAGTTGAGCAATATAGGTATGTTAGCGTTGTATTGAAGAATACAAAAATGGCATCTTATTAATGATAGTCCCCTTCACAGTTCCTTGCGCCATCTTGAAAGGTAGCTGTGCCTTTGCATCGAAGCGAGACAAACGGTGAGCTAGCAATAATATATAGAGATGTGAATAATCGTCCAAAGTGTTAAAAAAGGTCTTTATCATTGCAAGCTCACCATTGATCTCGCTTTGATGCAAAGGTACGGCTACCTTTCAAGATGGCGCAGGGAGTTGTGAAGGGCACTTGTATATATCTAATAAATTTGTACTGCGGTCCCTCGCAGTACACGATACTATATCCAAAAGTTGATAAAAATTGAATATTTTTTTCAAATATCAGATACAACCATTCCTGTACATTAACATGTACTAAAGGTTATCTCATTGGACCGAACACCATCACTTGTCAATCATCTGGAGTATGGACTGTTATAAGGGCTCAGTGTGTACCTCAAATCCCTGGCCGTAACAGCCCTCCTCATTCTATCATCCTCTCCTCGCACTTCATCCCCGAAAACACAGCAATAAACGAAGTCATAGGTCGACTGACTACCATCGACAGCGATGAAGACCAGACCTTTACTTACTCCATGGTAGAAGGCGCTCATGGTTTGTTTGGAGTCGATAATTCTCGTGGGTCTCTTGTGGTAGCTGGGTATTTGGACTACGAGAGGAAATCCCGGTATGATATCCGAGTTATGAGCACCGACAGTGGAACACCCCCGTTATCGTATACACAGAACCTGACGGTGCACGTACTGGACGTCAATGAAGCCCCGAGTAAGTATATAGGGTTGGTTACCCAGACTGCTCTCGGCCAAACTTTTTGTTACCCAGACCCCTATTGAACAAGGCCTTAGGAAGAAGAATTGTTGATCAATTTACACGAGAGAAAAACGTTTGCGCATGCGTACCTTTTAAAGAGTTTTCTAAGAATTTACTACAAAAGTTTAAGTAAGAGAATAAAGGTTCGTTTTCTCCGTGAGACCAAGATACTGTATTGATAAAGACAATGAGAAAGAATGAGTCTCAAGTTTCAAGCGTTGACACCAGGTTTTGGCATTTTGTTAAGTCCATTTGTCAGGCATGTTTGAAAGTCACATTTACATATTTTTACAATAGCACGAAGATGTTTCGACTAATTTGCATACGGACTAAGAGCATGCGCAGACGGTTTTCACTCGTGTCAATCGATTTAGTAATAACCAATAGAGTCTTTGCACCATCACGTGATGGCAGCCATGACAGTAGGAAGGAACAATTGAATCTAGTCTAATCTGATTTACATGAGAAAGAATTCAGTTTCCCAGGGGAAAATTGCTCTATTGTTGTGCCTCCTGTCATGACCGCCATCATGTGATGGTGCAAAGCCTCTATATCTTATTTTTTCAAACTCTAGGTCCACCAATCATTGACCGGTTGAGTGTGTACGAAAATGTATCGATTGGTTATACCGTAGGAGTAATTAATTCATCGGATGCTGATGTGGATAGTCACCTGACCTTCTCGTTACTCACTGATGCACAAGGTTTGTTTCGAATCAATTGCAACACCCTTCTGGTTAATGGTCGTTTAGATTATGAAAGACAGTCAGAGTACATAGTTACAATTCAAGTTCGCGACAATGGGTTTCCGAGCTTATCTGCCACGTCGACGTATAACATTACAGTACTAGACTCAAATGAACCTCCTAAAGGGGTCATTTTACACGGGGGCTGGATTAAGGAGTATGTAAATGGCCCCGAAGGAACACAAAATGGATCCTTTGTTGGAAACCTGTCAACCATTGACGAAGATGCATTTGATAGTCATTACTATGAAGTCATTGAGCCTATTCCTTCTCCCTTCGCTGTCGTCGGATCTTCGTTGGTTGTTGCTAACGCTGGTCTCTTAGACTATGAAAGCCAGAACCAAATACCTGTGAACATTCTTTCCACAGATAAGGGAGGGGCAACCGTCACATCCAGAATTGTAGTTCGTTTGTCAGACGTTAACGAAAGACCAACAGCCATTCTTCTATCAGCGGCTACTTTCACTGAGCATGCGCAAATAGGTACTGTCATTGGCACGCTGAGCGCACGTGACCCAGACCGACTGGGTAACCACACCTTTATCATCCTGACGTCAAACCCAGGAAACTCCTTCCGGGTCATTGGCGACCAGCTTGTTTTGAATAAAGACATTGACTTTGAAACTACCCATCATCCTCTCCGTGTTGTTCTTCGGGTGACGGACAATGGGGGATTGAGTCATGATGAAGAGTTCAATGTCACTATTCTCGATAAGAATGAACCGCCTCAAGCAATAAAACTCACAGCATACGCCTCTTGCTCAGCAGGAGGACAAGTCTGTGTCCCTGAGAACAAAATCATTGGTTATCACATCGCTCGTATCAGCGTTCAAGATCCAGATAGAGGAGACGTACCTTCTTGTGAAGTCGTTAGCGGAGACTTGATCGGTGTTAATAAAGGAATATTAGTAACGAAAGGCAAGATAAACTATGAAGCACTTGCTCCTACACATAACATAAGTGTAGGGTTACAGTGTAGGGATAGAGGTGGACTAAGTATTGAGGAGGCTTTTAATGTTACTGTTACAGACGCCAATGACCCTCCGTCGAACGTCTACATATCTCATTACATTATCAGCTCCAATGCACCTGTTGGAAGTCTTGTTGGTACGTTATATATAGAGGATGAAGATTCTGGGGATTCTCACACTTGCTACTTACTCAACAGTGATCGCAGCCCTTTTGAGATTCATGGGCTTCAAGTGCGCACACGCGAAGTTCTAACCAACGCCACGCATGCGCGCCAGCTTATTCAAGTTTGGTGCCAGGATTCCAATGTGGCTGGGTCTCCGAAGGATATCTACATCGACGTCAAAAACATCGACATGTCAGGAGTCATCAACATAACCCTGGACTCAAATAAGATCGCTGAAAATAAACCCGCGGGCTCATTGGTCGGTCACGTGTTTGCTTGGTCACATGACCCGGCCGAGTCTTTCTCGTTCCAGTTAGATATAAATGATGATTCTGCATTCGCACTGACCAGAGGTAACAGTGATCTTGTGACGACTAGGAGCTTGGACTACGAAAATCGAGCGAACTACACGGTTGTTATTCGTGTCTATGGCAACAGCGGAAAAACAAACTTTGAAAAGTTTATTATTGAGGCAAGTATTGAATTAACAATGTAGGCATTTAACTGGCATTCGTAGCTTTTTTACGCAGTACTTTAGTTTCCTTATTCAATCGTTGTATTCGACAAACCCAAACAGTCCCCACTAGTAACCACTGGTCAAGGGTTTTCTCCGGGTTCTCCGGTTTCCTCCCTCCGTAAAAAGCATCATGTGAGTTGAGTGTTGTATGTTGTAAATATAGAATATAGTGTTAATGCGTGTGGAGGGAACGTCACGGAAGAGCCCCGAACGGGGAGTGATGGGTGTAAAATATAATTCAATATAATTATTATCAGTTTGTTTTGTCATTTCTCGTCGCAGATCATCGATGTTTACGAACCTCCAGACCACCTTGTTCTCCATCATAATTCTGTAAGTGAAAATATCGCTGAGGCGTTAGTCGGTATTGTAACCCTAAAGGACTCGTTCACCATGAACCATGCTGTGATAGTCAGCCTTGTTTCAGACCCTACCGATGCCTTCCAGGTCAGTAATAGTAATAGTAAAGATTAGTATATGCAATAGGACTCCATGCTAAGAAATAATTGGGCGAGAAAAATTCCGAGGACTGACAAAATTGGGTGAGGCCGTAGGCCGAGTCCAATTTGGCAGTCAGAGGAATCTTTCGAGTCTAATTATTTCTCGATTGGAGAGCATAAAATCCCATTACCTATTAATTATATAGCTGCCTAACTAATCCCATATAAGCAAGACCTGTCCAATTAAGAAAATAATTGGACAGTTACCTATATGGGATTAATGAGAAGCTGTATAATTAGAGATATAATTTTATAGTTTCGCGCGCTGTGATTGGTCGAGCGAAGAGTGATTATGAGACGAGGTTTGACAAAGTCAACCCAGCGGCAGTAATAGTAAAACGTTTTTCTTTTTATCCTGAATTTTGTCTTTTCTCTGATATTCAAGTTTACATTATGCTAAAAAAATTATTCACCTAAGGCGGAGTGAATATGGTGAACAATATTCAACAATTATTCGCCGAGGGCGAAGTGATTATCAGGGAATATTTACCTAGACGCAAGTCTTCGAGCGGCGAGGTAAATATTCACCGGTATTCACTGAGCCTGAGGTGAATATAATAGTTTTAGTATTTTCAACACAAATGAATTTGATAAATAACGGAGAAAAAGCTTTTTTTCCCAATTTTATTTATCTCTGCAAGCGGCACACATCAACAAGCAAGCGTGCGCCTTCACTGTCATATTCACCTGTAGGTGAATATAACAGCATTAGACGTAAATTGTGACCAATAAGCTTGCCGGATTTGTTATATTTACTTGTGTAAAAATACTAGAGTACAAACACTATAAGTGTGTAACATAAATACCACTAAATACTGCTAAATTATGCTAATCCTATTGTTTTCTATTGTTTTATTAGCACTATTTACTACTAAGTAGTGCAAAGTGTTGCACACTTTTAGTGTTTGTACTCTAATAACCTATATTAGCTTAATTTTTAAATACGACCCCGTAGACCGGTGTCGTTAGTGTATTACCTTGCTTGATTCTCGCATACCGATGATTTGGCCGAACAAGAGATGTTACAGGAGTATATCGGAAATATTTATTGTGTTCATAATGTGAGATTTATTTTCGCCCAGATAAAGCCATCTGTAGCTCCCTACACATGGAAAATCACAACTAAAACACCGCTGGATTATGAAAAGGCTCAAAGCCACGTGATAAC